GGCCACTTCCTTCCCGGCGCGCCTGGCACCCCTTCCCCGAGCCGCTCCGGCCTTTCGACCGCTCCGCTAATTCTCCCTAACCGGATTAAAACTCTCCGCCCGATCTGGCCTCGCTGCCGGGGAACCGGGGCGTTGACACGGGCCCTGCACAGGGAGGGTCCGGCCGCCCCGGCGCGGCCACTGGCAGGGCGCCCGGCCCCACCGCCCCGGGCAGAGACCCTCGGTGTGGTGGCCTCTCTCCTCTCCCCCTCTGCCACCGTTGTGAGCAAACGCAGGTGGTTGCGGACGGCCGGGTGTTTTGGCTCTTTCTTACCCTGCCACCTCCTTCTGCTCCTCCTGCCCTTTGCGATGATTCCTGTGTGCCTGAGCTACCAGCATCCCTGGGCTCTGCGCTCGTCTGCCCAGCAGCTAAGGCAGCAGCAGGTGGTTTGCACGGGCACGTTCCTTGACGCTTGTGCTTTGCAACTATGAATGAACTGGACTAAAACACAGAAAGAATGGCTCTCAGGTCAAGTGTCCTGGCAGGCGGACAGGCACTCAACAGCAGACACAGCAACTGTCGTTCGGTAGGTACATCTGCAAAGTAGAATTTCAGCTCTGTGTGTGAGAGATGCCATGCCTGGCCTGCTCAAAGCATCTGTGGAGCCATGGAGTTATGGCAGGTGTCATGTGTTATGACGGGGCATCATCTGTAACAGAAGCAATGAGTTCAGAAAACACAAGAAGGAGTTAGGCCACCTTTCTCCTGTGCTTGCATATACTTCTGAGGTCTAGATCCTAAACAGGGGGCTATGCTCTTTGAAAACTGGCTGATCCTTCCGTGCATGCTTGTACAGCACCTAGCATCCCTGATCCTAGCAGGTGCTTTCCTACACCGCCAGTGGAGGCAGAATTCACCACCTGTTACATTGAACAGAGCTGCAGACCTGGAAGCAGTAATTAAAAGGGGCGGCATGACTCCTCTGATCTGGCACTTCAAAGGCCCATATAGGAAGTCGCTCCTCCCTCTTTCCACCTCCGGCTTTTCCCCTTAAAGACACTCCTTTGTCCTCTCCCTACTCACCAATGTAAGCAGCTGCCAGCAGTATGAAAGATTCACATCTTTCTTCTTCTGTACTTCTTCTATAGTGATCTGGGGTTTTTGTATGTCTTTTATTTTAGCTAGTTCACTAAAATCAGTTTCTTTATCCCTCCTGCCTGTGGCTACTGTCTGCCCTTCCCAGCTGTTGGTATGCAATTTCTACACCCCCATAATCTACACTGGAAGTTATATCCCCAAACCCCACCAGCTGTTCGTTCCTAGGTGGAACAGGGTCCCAGAGGAGTCAGGGCTGCTGGCAGGAGCAAAAACATTGTGGTACGGAAAGCCCTTGAGGCTGTGCTGGTGGCAGGTATGGGATTGAGCTGAGGGTGGGATTTGGCACATGGTTAGCATGGTTAGGGTGGGAAGGACAGTTGCATCTTGGTATCAATAACCCTGTAATGGAGAGCTGGTCAGCTGTTTCCTAATGTGAATGCTGACTGCGTTTAGTAAAGGACTTTCTACCACTTGCTATGTTAACTTTTACTCCAGTTCATGTAAGTATCTAGTACAGATACTTACCTAATCTAAGTGAACTTCTTTGCTGTACAGTAAAGGAGCAGCTGAATAAAGGCTACACTGTCCTGCAGTATTGATAGATAGGTGGGTTTAACTCAAACTTTGATTTGTATGTGTGTGTGTCCACAGAGGAAATGTAAAATATAGAAAACAATATCTACATGACAATATTAATTTTGTTGACACTGTTTAAAGTGGTATTTCAATGACTTTCTTTGCAATTCCAACAAAGTCCAACAAAAACTAAAGAACATCAGCCTAGTAATATTAAGAACACTACAGAGTTTCCTAACAGTAGAATGATGGCCTTTTGATTTTTTATTTTTTTTCCTGGAAATAGAAAATGTATGTTGTTTTTTTTCGCTTGTCTTTTGGTTTTGGGTTTTTTTTTTTGTTTATTTGTTTGTTTGTTCTGTGGGAGGTTTGTTTTGTTGGGGTTTTTTTGTTTGTTTTGTTTTGTTTTCGTACTGGAGAGTCCTAAGCTGTATTATATTTTCTGTGCTTAACAAGCTTAATGAAACTCCTCGAAATTAGGACACTTGTTGCTAACAGTTGTAGCTGTAAGATTCTAAAACATGGCAGATGTGTCCCATGCTGATGTCTCAAACTGTACCAGGATTTATTTTCTTGTCACTAAAGTGCCCACTTATCCTTTGGCAATTGGAGGTTCTGAAAAAAGGAACGATGCTGAATAAGGAGGGAGAGAGGTGCCATCCATGTCCTCTTAGAAGCCACCTAGGTAGGGTACGGATTGAATTTGTGCTTCTTTCTTACCTTTTGAAAAATAAAGACATGTAGAAGAACTAGGTAGTAATCCTCCATGATACAAGAAAAGCAGAGAAGCCATGGAGAGAAAGTCAGTTCCTGAAATAACCAGGGTGCTATGAAGTTCCTCCTCGTTCCAGCCCACACTGTGGCTGCTGCCCCCCCAGCCACAGATTCCCAGGGCCCTGTATCGCAATCCCATCAACTGCAGCACCTGCTTCAAGAACTGAGGCCCAACACCTTTGCTGTAAAGGGAGCAGAGAAGGACAATAGGAGATCAGATTAGTTGATTGTTATCTATAGAGCACGCCTCATTTGCAGCCAGTCTTATCTCTCTTACTGTATTAAACCTGGAGTAAACAGCAATTAATGTAATGGCTCAAACAGCTTAGAGAGGGAAAGTCGGCTGTTTGCTGCTCAATCCCCCCCCTCCCCCGGATCATGATGGATTGTCTGGTGGGGTGAAACCTAAAAAATAAGCCAAGTCATAGTGTTTTCTGAAATCCAGCTTTCTTTGAACTAGCTGGAGGTTTCATTCATTTCAGGCCCTTGGCTTTTCTCGGAGTCCGAGCCCGCTGACGGTGCCTCGGTTTCCTCAAGTTCATTAGCGTTATACACAACGGTATTAAACTACTAGCGCGGGTTGGCTGGTGCTGTCTCCAGGGGCACTGGCTCAGCGGGCCGTGCTAGACCCGGCGGGACGGTGCCACGCCGGAGGCTCCCGTGTTCGATGCTCGGCGTCCTGCCACCCTCTGCCCGCAGCCACCGAGCAGGGAGCGGC